TCAGAAAAAAGAACAACATTTAGAAAGAACCCCTATTAATAAGAACATTTTCAAAAATCCTGAAAAATATGAAAAACTGGATAATCAAGAAATTCGGAACTTAAAAAACTCACTATCAGAAAATCTAAAACAATTGAATTTTCCAAAATTAAATTGAAAATCAGAAATTCTAGAAACTTGGGAACCTCAAAAATTTTTATCGAATTTTGCAAGAATTCTGGTATTGTAATCTCAAATTTCAGGCTCAAAAAAAGGGTCGCATTTTTGAAATGAAGATTTTCAAAACTGGCAAAAAATCAAAAAATTGCTAAACAGTAACAAACCCATTTTCTTCTCAACTGTACACCCTCCCTCTTATTCTATCTGTTTCATTCTCGAAGGTTCTCTTCTGGGGTGCATCATAGTGCAAACAAACACAAAAAGAAGCATTTTCTTATTCACCGCCTGTGCTTTTTAACAAAACTGTATGAGCAAATATCTAGAGGAAAATATCAAATTTCCAAAATTAGCAATTAGTTTTTTGGGGTTTTCAGAAAATCATGAGAAAAATAGTTCCCGGATTTTCCAAAAAATAATCATAAAAACCTTTTTAAAAAATTGAAAATTAACAATTTAGAGCCCGTTTTTTAAACCCATTTTCTGAGCCTAAAATCGATTTTCTAGAAATTTTTCGAAAAAAGTGCTCAAATGGCCTAGTGGGATTTTCGACGAAAGATTTGGATCTAGGGGTTGCGGGTTCGAACCCCACCGGTGGCAACTTCTTTTTTAAAACGTTTTTGTGGTTTTCAGGAGCGGGAAATATGAAATTCGGAGTTACAAAGCTCGAAAATGTAGTTAAAAATGTGAAAATATGAATTTTTGGAATGAAAATCACTATTTTTCATTATACGATCTTTGAATGTCTAAATCTCTAAACCTAGCTCATCCTCCCTGAGCCTTCAGTGCTCTCCAGAGAAATGATGCACCCCAGAATACTACTCCAAATACATAAGAAGGCGTTCTTCGAAGCGCCTGAGCAATAAATGAAATGAAATTTTCCCCCTCTCCGACGCCTTCTTGACACCAATAAATATTCCATTACTCATCTTCAAGGAAGAATCTTCATCTTCAGAAGAAGACGGACTCAGAAGTAACGCATTTGGGGAAATACACAAAAGAGCACACAAAACGAGGAGAGTGGTTAGAGAAAGCGACCCTCTTCCCCCTCACTTAACACCGTCAACTTTGAGCTTAGTTATCTCGGTTACTGTAAGAGATATCAAAACGTTGTCAACTAATGAAATATTTATCATAATATCAGCATCATTTTATCAGTTGACAAAATTTTGATATATCCTAAAGAAACCGAGATATATGAGTTTTAAGATGACCGTCTGGGTTGCACGGTTTGGGTGGTGTTTTACGGTATCAATTTTTGATGGTTTTTCGCCAGTTTTTCGCCAATTTTAGACCAACTTTCTCGACTTTCTCTGCAAAAAGCTGAAAATAGGCTTTGGGTACAATTCTTAAAAGTTTTTGACACAAAAAAATCGGTGTGAAATGAGCTAAAAGGGGAAAGTGTATGTTTAATGCATTGAATGAGTCACACGCGCATCATATCAATTTTTGATGATTTTTAACCATTTTAAACCGATTTTCTCAAACTTCTTGCTACTGAAGCTGAAAATATGCTCTGACTACGGGATTTTATTCTTTTTATCCCGCAAAAATCGGTGCGAAATGAACTAAAAAGGGTTAATTTCCAGTTTCGCGCTTTACACAAGTCATAAGCGCAATATATAAATTTTTGATGGTTTTCCGCCATTTTTTACTGGTTTTCTCGATTTTTTCCGTTTGGAAATAGCTGAAAATCGACTCCGTGCACGATTCTTCAGTTTTTACTTTGCGAAAAACGGTGAAAAATGAGCTAAATCGTTCAAATCGCTGTACCACTGTTGTAGCTTACCGTAATCGCTACTTCAGCTCTTTCAACAAGAAAACACTCAGTTTTCACCATTTTTCATGAATTAACAACTGAAATATCGAAACTAGAGCAGCTTATTTTCAGCTTTTTGCAGAAAAAATCGAGAAAATTGGTTTAAAAATGACGAAAAACCATGAAAAACTGATATATTGCGCTTATGGCTAATTCTGGTTAATTCAACTTTCAGATATCTTCTTTAGTCTCATTTTTCACCGATTTCACGGTGAATTCTCCGGAACGTTTTTCAAAATAAATATTTTTTCGCGCTCTTTTCATTTTTGGTCGCAATTTCGCTGTGTAGCGACTCAGTAATTCATTTTTTAGCATGCGCGTCGATACTCAGCGCGCTTAACTACAGTATTCGCGTTAGAGCGCATTTACTTTAGAAAATTCACCGTGCGATTTTCATAGCATAAAAACTAAAATGTCGAAACTAGAGCTTATTTTCAGCTTTCTAGAAAAAAAAAAGTCGTGAAAATCTGTTGAAAAATGACGAAAAACCATGAAAAACAGATCTTTTGCGCTTATGGCTAATTCTGGTTAATTCAACTTACAATTATCTTTTTTAGCTCATTTTTCACCTATTTTCATGGAATAAAAACTGAAATATCGAGACTAGGGCTTATTTTCAGCTTTCTAGAAAAAAAAAAGTCGTGAAAATCTGTTGAAAAATGACGAAAAACCATGAAAAACAGATCTTTTGCGCTTATGGCTAATTCTGGTTAATTCAACTTACAATTATCTTTTTTAGCTCATTTTTCACCTATTTTCATGGAATAAAAACTGAAATATCGAGACTAGGGCTTATTTTCAGCTTTCTACAAAAAAAAGTCGTGAAAATTGGTCAAAAAATGGCAAAAAAAACCATCAAAAATTGATATATTCCGCTTATGGCAATCCAATACGTTAAACTGGCACTTTTCCCTTTTTTTTTAGCTCATTTTTCACCGATTTTCATGGAATAAAAACAGAAAAATCAAACTCAGAGTTTATTTTCAGCTTTTTACAACAAAAAAATTCGTGAAAATTAGTCGAAAAACGACGAAAAACCATCAAAAATTGATGAACTGTGTTTACGGCTAATTTAGGCAAACTTCAGCTTCATTTATCCTTTTTTGGCTCATTTTCACCGATTTTCATGAGGTAAAAGCTGAAAAACCGTACTCAGAGCGTATTATAGACTTTTTATAAAAAAAAGTTCTTAAAAATCTGTCAGAAAAGGACAGAAAACCAAACCGTCAAAAATTGATAAATTCCGCTTATGGCAATTCAAAACGCTAAAATGGCACTTTTCCCTTTTTTTTTAGCTCATTTTTCACCGATTTTCATGGAATAAAAACAGAAAAATCAAACTCAGAGTTTATTTTCAGCATTTTACAAAAAAAAGTCGTGAAAATTAGTCGAAAAACGACGAAAAACCATCAAAGTTGATGAACTACGTTTACGGCTAATTTAGGCAAACTTCCGTTTCATTCACCCTTTTTTGGCTCATTTTTCACCGATTTTCATGGAAAACCAACTGAAAAATCGAGCTCAGAGCCTATTTTCTCCTTTTCTTCAAAAAAAAAATCGAGAAATTTGGTTTAAAAATAACGAAAAACCATGAAAATCTATTGCGCTTATGGCTATCTATTGCGCTTATGGCTAATTCTGGTTAATTCAACTTTCAGATATCTTTTTTTAGCTCATTTTCACCTATTTTCATGGGGTAAAAGCTGAAAAACCGTACTCAGAGCGTATTATAGGCTTTTTATTTAAAAAAAGTTCTTGAAAATCGGTCAGAAAGGGACAGAAAACCGCCAAAAATTGATATTTCCCGCTTATGGCGATTTGAAAGCTTTAACCTTGCATTTATCTTATTTCAGCTCATTTTTCACCGATTTTCCTCTGGTAAAAACTGAAAAATCTTTCGTTAAGCCTATTTTCAGCATTTCTAGAGAAAAAAAAATGATGAAAATTGGTCAAAAAATGGCCAAAAGCCATCAATAACTGATTTATAGCTTGAAAAAATTGGAAAAACAACTTTTTCCGACAATTTTCAGACAGAAAATTCTAGAATTTCCAGCAACAGAGACCAAATGAAACATGGTTGAAATGACTAGAACAACCCAAAAAATAATGGGAAAACGCCGAAAAAAAGAGCACTGAGCATGGGCTCATTTCAAATGCAAACCCACTTTACGGCCGCTTTTTCGTTGTTTCAAATTTCTCTTTTTTTTCCGAAAATTTTCAAAAATTTTCAATTTGTTTCTTTTTTAGAAAAAAAAAAGCCCAAAAATAATATGAATTTTTGAAAAGGAACCTATTTTGTGTTCTAAAAAATTGCTCTTTTTTTCAATAAATTTTAAAGGGGATTTTTGAGAAAAAAGCCCTCAAATTTCAATTTTTTGAAATTTCCAGAAATTTCTAGAAAAATGAAAAAACAGTTTGAGGAAAAGTTTAGGTGCACAATCAATGGTTTCTATGTGATTTTTTCCCCGAAAAATCGAAAAATCCGACATGCAAACAATCGCAAAAAAAAGAGGAAAATTTCGGAAAGTTTTTAGTTTACAAAATGGTTTATAAACAATTTTTCCCGGAATTTGAGGGCAGGCTTTTCGGATTTTTTTTAGTAAAAAATTGAAAAAAAAAATTTTTTTTGAAAATTTTCTCCGCGACGTCATCTGATTCTGAATCCCAAAAATCTGAAAATCCAATTTTCCGCTAAAATTTCATTCATTTTACAAAAACACAATCATGGGGGAGGGATGTCACCATATCAATATGAGAAAATAATCATCGGGTGGGGGTGGAGCCAAAAAGTGGGCGGAGCCAAATAAACCAATTTTAAAAGAAAAAGGTGAATAAGAAGGGGGCGTAGCTTATTTTCTCCAGATTCAAAAAATTTGAAGATGAAAAAAAGAGCAGGGGGAAGACATGAAATGAGTAAAGGGGGCGGAGCCTAGAAAAGGGGGCGGAGCTTCCTAGAAAATCAGGAAAATGAATCAATTTAAAGGGGGATAATGGTAGGAGAAAAAAACAAAAAATGAAAGATGGATCAAAGGGGGCGGAGCTTAGAAATTCCACTGATTTTGTGCATTCCAGCAGCCGAAGCTCTAGAATTCTCATCATTCTGACCATTTTCATCGTTTTCATCGTCGCCAAAGAACTGTGTGATGATACGGTAGGCCTGAGTGTAAATCGATTCTGATTGTGATTCTTGAAGACGTTCCAGGGCATCCAATCCACCGTTCTCCTCCACTTCGTCGTGCAGAATGTCCATTTTGTGCGAGTAGCTGCAAATTTGGGACATTTTTAGACATTTTAGTGGTCCAGAAGACCCATTTTTAGCACTGAAAAGGGCTTTTTAGACCAAAATATCATCGAATATGGATTTTGAGGCAATTTTAGCACTAAAAACGGTCATGAAATGTGTTAAAAATTCAATTTTTCTTGTCGAATTTCTCTGGAATTGACACATTCCAGATGCTTTGAATTGCATTTTTAGCACCAAAATTAGTCTTAAAATTGGTGAAAAAATTCGATTTTCGCACATTTTTGAAGCATTAAAATCCATTTTTTCAAAGATTTTCTCAAACCAAAATCTCTAAAATTTGGCGAAAATTCGATTTTGGGGCATTTTTAGAACTGAAAATAGGCACAAGACATGACTTAGACATTCGAATGTTTGGTCTAAAAATCCTCTCGAATTCATTCCCAACAACTGCAAAATTTGAGGATTTTTGGACATTTTCAGAGGGTTGAATGGGCCATTTTTAGCACTAAACATAGGCCTAAAATGGCTTAAAAATCAAAAATTCTCATTTTGAATTTTTTCGACAAAAAATGCGTAAATGGGTTGAAAATCTCAAAAATTCCCAAACAAAAATATTTTCAGGCACACTTTCAGCACTTGAAAACAGTGATTTTATTGTGAAATTGTGGCAAAAATTCTCCAAAATTTCTGTTATGAGCCATCATTTTCAGCACTAAAAATACCTCTAAAAATGGCTAAAACAGCTCAAAAATCCCCATTTTTCCTTGAAAATCCCCTAAAAATGGTACCTAGTCTGAACGGTGAGCATGAGTGTGTAGAGTGTCTCGAGAGTGTTATTCAACATATCCTGGTTGTGTGTGGTATTCAATGCTTGACACAATGCAGGTACCACATTCTCTTCCATCATGGCAACAATCTGACGAGACGTTCCTCCTTGTGCCAGGTTCGAAAGAGCCCACGACGCTTCGAATTGACATTTATGGTCTCCAGACTTCAGAATATTGACTAGAATTGGAAGCAAATGGGCATCGAGGACAGCCTGGAAATGTCATTTTTCATTCCAAATTCTCTCGAAATTCCCAAAAAAGGGGGCATCGGGACGTTTCAGAACTGAGACATTATAGAACTGCGACGGTTTAGAACTGCGATGTTTCAGACATTTTCTGCATTTTTGTATAGTGATTTTTTGCACACCAAATGAGCATTGCTCATTTCAATTTTGTGTTTTTCTGCTTTTTTATTCATTCTCATCTACCGTACTCCGAATAATGATAGGTTAGCACAATCGGAATCTCTCAAAAAATCGAAAAAAATTTGAACTTTTCAAAAACGATGTCTAGAAGTACGCAAAAATTTTTGCCGGCGAATATGAGTCTCATTTTTGCATACTTTTAGAAATGTCATAGTTTTTTAAAAGTTCAATTTTTTGAGAAATTCCGATTGTGTTAACCCTATCATTATTCGGAGTACGGTAGATGAGAATGAATAAAAAAGCAGAAAAACACAAAATTGAAATGAGCAATGCTCATTTGGTGTGCAAAAAATCACTATACAAAAATGCAGAAAAGGTCTGAAACATCGTGGTTCTAAAACGTCGCGTTTCAAAAATGTCGCAGTTCTGAAACGTCGCAGTTTCGAAACGTCCCGGAGTCAAAAAAAAAAAGGGGGCAGTACCTGAATCTGTTTCTGAGTGCCAGCAATGATATTGGAGATCAACCAACAGCACTCCTTCATAATACTCGTCGATCTCGTCTTCTCCATCAATTGGACCATTCGATCCAAGACACCCAAATCGATAACTGACTGAGTCAATGAATCATTTCCAGTTGCCACGTTGCCAAGTGTTCGCAATGCTGGTGCAATCAGATTTTCCGATTCATCCAAATACGACACAATCGTCGACAATACTCCACTCTCCCTGGCCAATTCAATCTGCTCGTCTGGTCCATCGGTCAAATAGGACACCGCCCAGCACGCGTCCTGACGAACTTGACGGTCCGAGTGCTGAAAATATGGGGATTTGGGGGTGAAAGTCAGCTAAAAATTCAAAAATTCCGCAAGCAGAGAAAGATTTATAGGAGGATTTTGGGCTCCAAAATTGATGAAAATTTGGATTTCTAGAGCTTAAAATCAGCAAAAAATTCAAAAATTCCGGTGTTTTGGGGTTGAAAAATTGATGAAAATTCGAGTTTCTAGAGCTAAAAATGAGCGAAAAATGGACTCTTTTCAGACCCAAATCATGCAATTTTAGCTCAAAATGTCGACGTTTTTTGATCTATTTGGCTCCTTCTAGATCCAAATTACTCTCAAAAATTCCGAAGAATTACCTTGACCAGGGCAGCGAGTCCCTTCGCGAGAACCTTCAGCACTGGAAGCGGTGCGTGTGGATTCTGGTGTCGACACATGTTGGAGAGCGCCCACGCAATGGTACGAACGTGTGAAGTGGTGAATTGATCGATTCGGGACATGATATGCATCAGTGCCTCAACGCCATGACATTCAATCACGTAATCACGTAATTGCGCAGAATCACCGGCAATATTGGCAACTGCCCATAGTGCTTGTTCGGCGATTTGTCCATCCGAATGACACGATAATTCAATCAAAGGAGCACATGCACCTGCCTCCACTGCTGACATCGTTTGCGAAGTGCTTCCAGAGACTATGTTGGTCAGCGCCCACGCCGCTTCGTATTGCACACGATCGTTCTGTAAAATAATTGATTGGGGTAATTAAGAGAGGGTAATTAGCGAGGAAACGGGGTCTTGGAAGGGCCTAAAACATCAAAAACCGTTGAAAATGACCCTAAAATGCTCAACATGTTCTCAAAAATTCTGAAAATCCTGGTATGGCAATGGGGTGTTGAAGGGCTAAAAATGATCTAAATTGCTTAAAGTATCGGTATTTTTCTCAAAAATCGGCTAAAAATGACCTAGAATGCTCAAATACTTCGGTCTCACGTTTGTTCTGCAAATTAATTAATTAGGGTAATTAAGAAAGTAATTAGCGAGGAAATGGGGTCTTGAAGAGCTTAAAAACCTTGGAAATCGACTGAAAATGACCCTCGAAATGGGTTCAAACTCCCTTAGTTTCTGTATAGAAAACATCATTTAATTTCGATTTTCCAGAATGTGAGATAATTAGGAGTGCAATTAAGGGCAATTAGCGACGAAATGGGGTCTTGAAAATGCCGGCTGAAATCATCGGCTGAAATTGGCTTTCTTTTTTGTGAATTTCATGTAATTTTTAGCCGACTTTCAAAGTTTTGAGAGCCTCCCAAGCCAAAATTAGACATTGTTGACCCTTCCAGACCCCATTTTTAGTCGTATTCAAGTTCTAAAAAAACACGAATAATCGAGTAATCTAGGTCATTTTAAGCCGATTTTTGAGGTTTTTAGACATCTTCAAGCTAAATTTATACCCATTTTTAGCATTTTAGACAATATTTCATATTCCAGTCAAAAAATGGCGCCCAATTCCAATTTTTCGAGTATTTTTGGTCATTTTCAGTCGATTTTCGGGGGTATTTTTCGATTTTATCAACGATTTTCAGGCAATTTTCAAGGATTTCAGACCCTTCCAAGCCACAATTAGATATTGTAGACCCTTCCAGACCCCATTTTTAGTCATTTTCTCGATTCAAGTTGTAAAAAAAACCCCGATTTTTGAGGTTTTTAGACATTTTCAAGCTAAAATTAGACCCATTTTTAGCATTTTGGGCTCTTCCAGACCTCATTTTGGTCTATTTTTCATATTCCAGCTCACAAAATTGCGAAAAATTCGGGTTTTCGAGCATTTTTGCTCATTTTCAGTCAATTTTTGAGATTATTGGACCTATTTCCACCCCTCAGGATTACTGTACCTGAACACGAAGTGCCTGAACGAGAGCATTGATAAGACCCGACTGAATGACGTCATCGATTGGTGGATTTTTGGTTTTCGAGAGAGATTTTCTGAGTGATTCGAAGCATCGAATCATATCGTCTTCAGATGGATTCGACGACAGAATTTGCTTGATTTCATCGTTTGACAATCGATTCGTATTGCTCATTTGATTGCCATTGCTCAGCTTATCTTTATCCTCATTCTCTGATTCGCATTCATTCAAATCATCATCTTCGTTATCAATGATATTACGACGTTTCATCATCAGATCCGCCCCTTTTTGTTTACGAATCTCCACACTGCATTCGGTTCGGCGACGACGGAGTTCCTGAAGAAATTTGAGCATTTTTAGATGGAAAATTGAGGATTTTGGGTGTTTTTTTGACTTTAAAATCGCATTTTTGAGCCTAAAATTGCCTAAAAACGGCTATTTTCAGCTCCAGAAGAATCTGAAACAGACAATATCGGACAAAATACCAAAAATAGGCATTCTTGGGTGGAAAATTGAGGATTTTGAGGGGTTTTTAATTCTAAAATTGCTCTTTCTCGGCAAAAAATGGGTTAATATTACATAAATCCCGAATTTCAGCAGTACCTCATGCTTAGTGAGATTCTTGTACTGTTGAAGGCGTCCCGCGTCGTCTTTCCCGTCGTCGGCGTTGTCTCGAGAGAGTTTTGTCTCCGAAAGTGACATTTTGGTTAGTTTTGTGGTCTTTTTTACCTGAAAATTCGTTGAAAATAAGAGAAAATAAGGGAAATTAGAGCAAACATGAAAAAGGTGAAGAAATTGGGTTTCCGGTAGAAATTCGGGCTGTTTTGGCCAGAAAATCGCTGTAAAACCGGAAAAAATAGTCTAGAAATGCCGAAAAATGAACATTTCAGGCCAAAAATGCCCAAAAATGAAAGAAAATGCCGGGCGCCGGCGCCCAAATTCAAAAGTCAAAAACCGGTGTTTGGCGCCAATTTTCAAAGAAGGCTATCGCAAAACGCGCCAGCAACCGCGCCTGGCGCATAACCTGATTTTGGCGGTAAATTAAAAAAGAAAACTGAAAAAAGTCGAATTTTTAGCTTTTTTCAATCAATTTTAATGCAAATTAACAAGTTTATTAGCGGAGAAAATTAGAAAAGCAAATTTCCGAGCGCCACAACAAAGATTCCAGTGAAGATTGACGCGATTCCAGCGGATTTGAAGACTCCTTCCCTGAAAAAACGCCAATATGGCCTAGAAATCCGTGGCCTAACTTACCAATTGTTCTCGTTTTGGAAGTGAATGCGTTTTCTAATTATTCTCATGGCTTCTTGATTTTGATCCTGGTCGTTTTGATCACATTGTCTCATCCATTTGCTCAAAAAACTCAAATCCCCGGATCCAGAGTCAAAAGCCAAGGGGAGGCCTAGAACAGCAACATAGCGATCTTTCATGCAGATTTGGAGGGTCTCAGTAAGCTGAAATCATTGAAATATGTTAATTCTGAAGCGAGTTACAGTAACTTTTTCCAAAAAATCTTAATTTTTCTTTTAAAATAGGCATAACTCTGTCAGTTTTGTTCCAAATTTTTCGATTTATATATTTTTGAATTTAACAAATTTTCAGCTTCAAAATAAGTATAAACATGCCTAGGTTCTGCAAAGTTAGTTTAAAGGCGCATGACCCATCTGAAAATCTCGAAAAATCAAAGTTTACCAAAATAGGTCGTGTTTATACTCATTTTGAAGCTAAAAACGTAGAAAATTCAAAAATATAAATTACAAGTTGTTTAAGCTGATATAGGCCGAGTTATGACCCAAACCATTTTTGTGCTCACTTAGCCCAAACATCACATTTTTCCAAAACATGCCATGTTTATACTTATTTTGAAGCTCACATTGCGAGAATTACCAAAATAAAAATTTCAGCCAATTTAGGCCGATATGGGCCAAGTTAGGACCTGATTTAAGTCGAAAAAAAACCAAAATTGCTATTGTCAAACTTTAAAACCGTCTTTTCTCGCTTATTTTCGATATTTGTTATGAAAAAGTTACATTTTCGAGTTTCAATTGTTATTAGCTTCAAAATGAGCCCCAACATGACCCATTTAGCTGAATTACGATTTTTCGAGGGTCCATGCGCCTTTAAAGTCGAAAATTTGAAGTTCACCGGGATAGGTCATGTTTATACTCATTTTGAAGTTGAAAACGTGACAAAGGAAAAAATATAGGTTTCAAGCCGTTGAGGCAAACATGGGTTGAATTATGGCTCAAACTAGATTTGGGCCGATTTACGCTAAAAACAAAGTTCAGCTAAAACATGCCTTGTTTATACTTGTTTTAAAGCTCAAAACGTGGAAAATTCAAAAATCTATATGTCTAGCCGATTGGACCAGAAAGGGCTGAGCTATGGGCCCAAAACACCCAAAAATTGATAATTTGCGAAGTAGGCCATGTTTATGCTCATTTTGAAGCTCTAAACGCTGTAAATTCAAATCTCCTATTAATTTTTACCTTACAATCCAGATGAAAATGTGAGGAGCAGATGAAGTTGTAGTATCTGAGGTTCAATTGTTGCTCAGTGATCCCATGGAGCCCGAGGGATGGCTCCGCAGCAGACGCTTTGGAAATGGCCTTCATAGCTGGAGGGATAACTTCTCCAGTGACGTCATGAGCAATGATTTGGCCGGAATTTGAGGATACTTGGTCCGGATTACTGGGTGGGGAGGGTTTCGGGGGTTCGGAAGACTCCACTGGTGGAATTGTGAAGTTTCCAGAAGCGTCTAGCTCTTCAGAAGCTGCCGCGTAGCAATTCAGAAGCGTCAGAATCAGAAGAAACGGGAATTTCATGGTTTCTAGATGGTAAAATGCCAAACACGAAGGGAAAAATGGTTTTTTCAAGTCTCCCAGAGCGAGTGGGCGGGCTTTTTATGATCAATGAAAGCGCAAACATTGGATGCATGGAAAAGCGGAAAATTGAAAGAAACGATTGCTGGGAACCGTTTTTTGGGGTTGGGAACCGACTAAAAATCGAAAATCGTTCAAAAAATTTTCGAAAAAAATTGTTTTTTTTTCGAAATTTTTTTAAAGGGACATATCTTTTTTTCAGAATAATTTCTCCAAAAAATGGTCAATAGGCAAAATAAAGCTCAACTTTCTTCTATTCAAAAATATAAATTTCAAACTATTTGAAAGATTCTGACCTACTTTTTTAGGTCCGTCAATCAGGTCAACTCATCGGCCTTCAGGTGCTGCGTGGGTCTTCAGATTATACCTTCTTTCAAAATTGAGATTTTTTAAAAATTAAAAATGGAAAATGTAGATTTTAAAATGATCTACAAAATGATATAACATTTCAAAAAGTTTAATTCCTGAGTTTTTGAGCAGAAGCCGTTGAACTTAAAGGCCAAATATGTTGCATCTACCACTGGTAGTATAGTTCAACTGACCATAACTCAGTCAATTTTAGTCTTGGTAAGTTGTACTTTTATTTTTGGATTTAGCAGGTCTCCAGCTTCAAAATAAATACAAACATGGTCCGTACTGCTAATGCTTGAACAGGGTTACGGTAGCATAAAGGCGCAACACCTGATTTTGACGCCTCGGTTCTGGTCAGGCCTTCTATTCAATTGAACATAACTCTGTCAGTTTTTGCCTTAGCAAATTGAAATTTGTATGTTGGAATTTGTCAATTTCCGAGCTTCAAATTGATTATAAACATGTCCTGGATTGCTCATCCTTAAGCAAAGTTACGGTAGGTTAAAGGCGCGGTACCCAAGAATTGAGCCCTTTTCATTGCAAGTGGTGCTAAAAAGGTCACCGTGTTGTTTTTTTTGTTTTTCATGAGATACAGTAATCCTTGTTGTTAGACAATAAGATTTTAATCTCCGCCTCTTTTATCTACACACCTACAGTATCCTGATAACAAGCAGAAAATTATATATGACGGCCATAAACAAAGGAGAGGCAAACTAGGCCACAAAAATGAGTGATGGGTTTTAGAGGGGTGTTATAGGTTAGGCGACACAGGTATGAGAGTTTTTATTCTCTTTTTTGTCTCTTTTTCTGATAAATTTGAACAAAAATGGGATGAGTTTCGGCCTAAACATTTATATTTTGCCAGAAAATCCGATTCTCACCTTTTAAAATGATCATAACTCTGTCAATCTTGATCTTAGCAAGTTTTTACTTATATTTTTGAAATTGGCAAGTTTTTAGCTTTAAAATGAGTATAAACATGCTAAGGGTAAGAAAAGTTAGTTTAAAGGCGCATGGGTCCCTCGGAAAATCTCGAAAAATCAAGTTCAGTCAATATATGTCTTGTTTATACTCATTTTGAGGCGCAAAATGTGAAAAATCCAAATTTTCATATTTCAATCCGTTTGAGCCAAATTGAGACGAGTTATGGTCCAAACCATTTTCAGGACAAAAACCAAAGTTTTCAAAAGTGTGCCTTGTTTATACTCATTTTGAAGCTCAAAACGTGAAAAATTCAGAAAACTTTATTTCAAATCGTTTGGATCAAAAAAGGCGGAGATACGGCCCGATCCAGGTTTAGGCCAAAAAATCAAGAATTCAAAAAGTGTGCCTTGTTTATACTCATTATGAAGCCCTTGATGTGAAAAGTTGAAATTTTTATGTTCTAAGTCATCTGAGCCAACAAGGGCCCAGATATGGCCTAATACAATTTTAGGCCTAAAATCAAAATTTTCGGAAGTATGCCTTGTTTGTACTCATTTTGAAGCTCTCAACCTCCCAAACTCAAATTTTTCATTTCTGAATATTCTTGGCCACGCGTTTCTTGGATTTCTAGGCCATGACACTCATACCTCCACCCATACAAATATTTTATTCATGCTAATTTTAGAAACATGTTTCTTTTTCTCAGAATTTGTCATGTAGATCGAAAAAAGCATTTTTCTTCTTTTTTTTTCTATAAAACTCCCGCATGCATGTGCATATTTTAATAATTAATTAGATACCCCCTTCCGTCCTTTTTTTTGCTCAAATTTCAGAAAAAAAAAGCAATTATTTTTTTGTATAATTTTTTTGTGTTGTTTATCAAAACAATATGTGTAAAAAATAATATATATTTTTCAGATTTTTTTCAGACAGCAAAAAAAAAATAATTATTAGTATTTTTTTGACTTCCGTCAAAAAAAAACAGCCAAAAAAAAATAATTTTCAATTGAACCAAAACCAGGCGAATTATGACTCATTTTCAAGCTCTAGAAGTAAAAAATTCTGTAAATTAGGTTTCAGTCAATTTGGACAAAAACTGACCTAGTTAGGACATTTGGCAACTTTAGGCCTATTTTTGGCCAAAAATCTATATTTACCGAATTATGTCATGTTTATACTTATTTTGAAGTTCTAAACACGCTGAGTCCAAAATTCAAATTTTGAATTAATTTGGATCAAAACTGGCCAAGTTATGGCCTTAAACAGATTCAGGCTTATTTTAGGCCAAAAATCTCAAAAATGTAGAACCTAGTCTTGTTTATATTCATTTTGAAGTTCTTACTGTCTATTCAATAAAACGTGGGCGCACCGCA